AGAAAAGTCAATTACAAACAAACTCCGCAAACGATGCCTATTTGGAATGGTTTTCATTTGATTGTATTCGTGTTGAGAAATATGGCTTATACTTGGATGGTCTACCTACTTATTCATCTGTTAAATTGATTCCACTTGAGATAACAGATGAGACACATGATTTTTATTATGCCGAGGTAAACTACTTACTTATGCGTCATGTTTATTGAATACTTTACATAATTATTGACTTATTATTTTGTATTACTTCCACTAGTTATGTGATAAGCATCCTGATATTCTTAGCACGGATGTTTGGGTTACCATCGGATTTACATACAGCGCAAGCGAACAAAAGTATTATTTACTAAAAAAATATTATGGGAATGAATTATGTCTGGCGTGTACAAGGAAATTAGCGGCTGAGATAAATGCCTTCTGTTATGAATGTAAGGCACCACGACTCTTTATACATTTGTGATGGTTCCATTCTTCCATCCTCTCTCTGCGTCAACCCGTTATTTACAATATCTGCTCTCGCCGAACGTATCTGCCATCACGCTGCAGACGACAGAGGTTGGAAAATTGATTACACTCTCCCCAAAAATCCAATTGATTTCAAAAAGCCGTTGGTTGTGCATGAAGTGGCCGAGAATGTGGCGAGGAATAGAGCCACGGAATCTTTTCGTAAGAAGGGAGAAGCAGGGTTGATGTTTACAGAAGTGATGAAAGGATGGTTTTCGACAGAAGTTACAAAGCGTGATGCTTTCGTTACAGCAAAAGGTCCAGTGCAGTGAGAAAATATTGTGTAATTACGAACTTTTACATACGTATCATTAAACTCACGATGATTCTTTTTTTTTTTGTTATACAAATTATTATAAATTAGGCCAAGCCAAATCTTCTCAATCACGAATGTCATTCCTCTTGACCATAATTGCCTACGACTATTCAACGCATGATTTAATCGACAGCACAAAAGCCGCAATCGCCGGAACCCTCTCTTGTCGCGCACTTTCATCAGATCCACTGATGGTGACTGATGGATCCTTCCGTCTCTGTGTCGGTGACGAATCAACAGTAGACACGTCTCGGATGGAATATAAGATGAGCCTGCTAACTACGGACGGAAGAAAGTTCAAGTTTGATGGTTATAAGAAAATTACAAACAGGAATTTCTTAAAGTCCTGGGAGCAATCGAGTACCTTGTACGTGAAAGTATCAAGTTGGGATGAAGAAGACGTTATTGGGTTGGGTGTTTTGAATATCAAAGTCTCAGATTTTCTAAAACAATTGACGACTATGAGGGTAAGTGTATTCGCAGGGGAAGATGTATGAGGAAGAGTGGTTTATTAGTTGGATTGGTTTACGGTTAACATGGTTGTTTATTAAGAGTATTATCTTTTATACATACCACAGGCTACAGGAGATAACAAAACCGAGAAACTGCGGGTCATTATTTCATTCATTACTTACTTTGGCGGAAAAGTTCTGGAACATTACTTTCCCGTCCTTCTGCCGCTCGAATACCCGGGTGATCTTATTACAGAATATAATTTGGTGAAGCCCTACGACTTGCGGGTTAGAGATGAAGATCTTTACATTGTTACAGCTAAAGACGGAGTTGAGAACCAGTTAAGGAGATACAGGTTACGGGGAAGAGAACACTTGGCGCCTGTGTTGCTGGTATGTATTGGAGTGAAGCAATAACCCATTTTTTTCAAACATTCACTTTCACATTTACCAACTGATCGTTTATCCCTTTTCAGGTTCACGGAGCAGCAATGACACATGAAATGTGGTCAACAGATCTCCTCTCACATAATGTTGTTGACTTTTTACTGGACAAAGGCTATGATGTCTGGCTAGTTGATTATAGGATGTCGCCAATAACAAAAGCCTCCCACAGCCAGTCTACTCTTGACGAGATGGTCTATGATGTTGCCGCTGCGATCGACAAAGTTAAGGAAGTCTGCAAAGTCGAGAAAATCGGCGTTATTTCTCATTGTGTTGGATCGATGGTTGTCTTTATGGGATTGTTGAACGGGGAAATTACAGGTGTCGGATCTTTGATTTCTTCTCAAGTGGTGAGTTACCCGTCTGTTCACGTGATTGTCATTTCATGAATACTAAAACCATTCTTCTTCTTTATCAAGGGAATGCACACCGTCCCAGGTCTAGTTAATAGAATCAAAGCCGCTATTCGCCTAGTTGGCTTTTATAAAAACATCCTTCGGCATAATCTGTATGATGTCCGCACAACCCGTGGCACAGACTGGCTGAACGGCATCCTAAACTTTATTCTCCGGTTCTATCCTGTCGGCAAAGGTCAATGCTGTAGAAGTGCTCTATGTCATAGAGCATCGTTATGCTATGGATTATTGTACAGACATGAGAATATTAGCGAAGCGATTCACAATAATCAAGATGAATTCTTTGGCATAGTAAATCTTACGGCCATGGCCCATTTGATGAAGATGTTGAATGCTGGTGAACTTGTGGATGCTAAAGGACGAAAAGTTTATGTAACTGAAGAGAATATTCGATCAAGGTTGAATTTCCCGATTGCTTTTATTAGTGGAAGGCGGAACGTAGTGTAAGTATACGTATACTTATTGCCCATGTCGGCATGCAGTTAATGAGTTAGTCTTTGCAATAGTCTTGTAATCATTTACTTGTATTGATAACTTCAATTCTATATAACTAGACTTGACCCATACTCTACAAAGAAATCGTTAGACGTTCTTTGGGAGATTAATGGTCGGGATAATTATGACAGATACGTTGTTGACGGTTATGGGCACCTTGATGCTTGGTGGGCAAACACTGCGCACGAGAAGGTATATCCATGGGTGTTTGATCGATTTGAACATACAAAAGAGCAATTTTATTACAAATATCAAAAGGCCGCGGCAACGACAGCAACAGCAACGGCTTCTTCCTCTTCAAACCATGTCAAGGCGACGAAACAACCAATCGTATGAACGTAACAACCGGGTCGAATAGAATTGGTTAATTTGTTGGGTAGTCGGTCGCGGTTTTGCGTTACTGCATTAGTATTGCTAACTTATTTATAGAGATATATAAGCTGCATAAAAAAATGTCCAAAATTTCATTCATTCGATAATATTAAAATAATATCACAATATCGGAAATCATTACTCAAGAGGGCGAGCCATTGTGATTTACAATAAACCTCGCTATTTTGCTGCAGCTCACATATTCTATCAAAGTAAAGGTAGCACAGCTCGAAAATATTTATTAGATCTTGCATAAACAAAATCTGTTCCTACTACTGCAGGACTAGTGTCACTAATGTTGGCAACAATCGACAATTTGATTCAATCTTCCTTATCAAATGAAAGTGGGAGACTTGAGTGGATTCCTTGCTCGCAAATTGTCGACATACGCTCAAGTCAAATCGATGCAGTCTATTACGCTATTCGCAAACTTAAACTGTATGCAGATGGTGAAATGAATATAATACTGTTATGTCTTGGAATCAGCAAAGAATGTACACCAACACTCGTGAATGAGTTTGCCGGAACATACTCAATTCCAACACACAAATATAATAGTG